TGTGGTTCTATACAAGGTTGAGTATTATTTGTTCTAGTTCTGTGAAACAAGCTGTTGGCATTTTGATAAGGATTGTATTAAATCTATAGATTGCTTTGGGTAGTATGGACATTTTAATAATAATTGTTCTCCCAACACATGAGCACAGATATCTTTCCATTGGTTTGTGTTGTCTTCAATTTCTTTCATGAGAATTTTATAGTTTTCATCATAGTATAGGGTTATTGTTTTTTTTTATCTCCCTCATTAAGTTTATTACAGGTATTTTATTATTTTTGGTACAATTGTAAACAATGGGATTGTTTTCTTAATTTCTCTTTCTGCTACTTCATTATTAGTGTACAGAAATGCAATGGACTTCCATATATGTGGGACACAAATAGAAAGCAACTGATCTGAGACTATTCCTTAGCTAAAACAAACAAGGTTTTGTCTTATTAGATACACCCTATTGCCCACAGAGATCAGAGCCAGAAGCCCATTTCTTCAAATCACAAAGATCCTCAGCACTTCAGTCCACTTAATTCTCAGTTGGAGGACCGTTTTCCCCTTTCTTGCTGTCCACCACCTGCTTCTTCTCCACTACGTGAAGAAATTCTTCACTTATGTAGGAGTGTCTCAGTCTCCGCCATGAACTAGCTTGTGCTGGGCTCTCACCCTTCCTTCTCCAAATCCCTTGAAGGGTGGAGCAGGTGGTTAGGCTGTGTTTTCAACTGCAGACTTCCTGTTGCCCAAAAGCAATTTATCCACAGACTGTGAGCAAGACTGAAATTCTCACAAGATAATATTTGGGTTTTTTTTCTTTCCCACTCCAAGCGTTTAGGACTTTCTTACCTTTTTCCTTAAGATACCCTACTAACTAAGGATGAGGAAATAGTGGGGGAAGTACAGAATATATATAAATGGAGGAAGGAAAAGATTACTGTGCCCACTAGTTTGTAACTTTTGTTTTCCAAAAGTCCAAAGAATAAGATACCACTAAAGAGGTTATGATAAGTGCTTCAGAAAGAGACAAGTTCCCAGTGTTTGGGTAAAAGAAGGGAGATGGAATGGAAGGAATAGTTATGATCAAGAGAATAACAGATGTCTCTGAGGACTTGAAGATTCCTGTGGTCCTGGAGAAGACAGGGAACAGGGGTTTGGTGACGAAAGCTGAGAAGACAGATGGGACCTGGCTTAAACAGTCAAGGTCCATTTGGGGTGCAAAGAGCTTGGGCCTTCTTACTTTCCAAGTATATATCCTTATAACAATGACCTGCTTTGATAGATGAACACTAAAATCCTCCCCCACAGTCTAACTCTTCGTCACTATATAAACACCTGCTTTGCAAGCTCTGCCACAGGTAGAAGGGAGACTTTCCACCTCTCAGTAGAATACGATAAGAAATTAACTTGAATGACATCAGCAAGACGGTACAATAGGAAACCCCAGGCCCCCAATCTCCCATGGAGACACCAAATTAAGTATACATGGACCAGATTGTCTCGTGAGCACTCTGGAAGCCACTTAAGAAGTCACAGCATCTCAGGCAAGAACAAAGCCAAGAAAAGATGCCTCTAACTGGGTGGGAAAAAGTGACATTTTACCCACCCTGGCCCAGTGTGGGGTGATTGGGCGAAAACTCTCTTCCAGCTCTTTCATCAGGAGGGAAAGAGTGGAGGCACAGAGCATGTGTCCAGTGTCCTGGATTTTCAAGGGGTGTCGGAGGGATCGGTTTTCTGTCTCACTGGATTCAGGGTGCCCAATGGAAACTGGCAGTTTGGCTGTGAGGTTGGGAGTCGCTAACAACAAAGTCAACCCCTGCGGCTTCTCATAGCAGCAGATCGACTGTAGTACCTCAGACAGACGTCAGGGGAGGAAGGTGTATGGGCTCCAGAGAAGAAGCAGGCAAACGTCTTTCACTGGGAGGTTAACACTCACGTGCCCAGAGAAGATGCATCTCAGGAAAGGTCGGAGACGTTCCCAGAATCTCTATCCATGCTGATTGGCAAAGGTCTTCCCTGCTATGAAGCCAGTTTGAAAGACTGGAGAAGGAGGCTTTTTTTTTTTTTTTCAATGTCCTAATCTCAACAAAAGATCACAAAACAAAGAGAGAAACAGGAAAGCATGGCCCAGCCAAACCAAAATAAATCTTTAGAAACTGACCCTAAAGAAAAGGAGGTCTATGGGTTACTTTATCTCAGAAAGATTCCACCTTCATTATTTATTGCGTCATTATTCACAGTAGCCAAATACCCGTTGGCAAATGAATGGATAAACAAGAAGTGTCATACGTATATAGCAGGATATTATTGAGCATTGAATGAGAAGGAGATCTTATCACATGCTACAATGTGAGTGAAGCTTGAGGACACCATGCTATGTGAAATATGCTGGTCAAAAAAGACAAACGTACGATTCTATGGATGTGAGGACTCCAAAGTAATCAAATTCATAGAAACAGAAAACAGAATGATGGTTGCCAGGGGCCAAGGGTGGAGGAAGTGGGGAGTTGTAATTCAATAGGTATAGACCTTCCGTTTTACAGGAAAACTGAAAAAGTTCTAGACATCTATTGCACGACAATATGAATATACGTAACACTACTGAACTGTAAATTTTATGTGGTTATATATATATATCACATAAAAATAAATATAAGTATAAAAACCAAATGGAGCACGTGGATAGCTCAGTTAGTTGAGTGTCCTACTTCTGATTTCAGCTCAGGTCATGGTTCCAGGGTTGTGGGATCGAGCCCCGTATTGGGCTCTGCACTGGGTGTGGAACCTGTTTAAGATTCTTTCTCTCTCACTCTGCCCGCGCCCTCAAATAAATAAAATGAAATAAATAAATAATAAAATAATTTTAAAAGCAAGTAAATAAAAATAATAAAAATTTTAAAAATTAAAGAAATTAATGAGTTAAATAGCAATAATGATCTGTTTCTCACGTACTCGCCTTTGCACAGAAGCCACAGAAAAACATTTTGCTTCTAGATCAATGGTACTCAGTGAGGAGATTTTTGTCTCCTCTCCATTGGGGGACATTTGGCAATATCTGGTGACATTTCTAGTTATCTATCGCATCTGGGGTGGGTGGTGTTACTGGCATCTAGAGAATGGGGAGGCAGAGATCCTGTTGAAGGACTCCCCTGCCCCGCAATAAAGAATATCCAATCCAAAATGTCATTAGTGCTTTTCCAGAGAAGCGCGGCCCTAAATTATTAATCACAGGTATTACTGATCTGCCAGTCCTTTGCCTCCAAGTTGGGTTAGTGGAGTCCAGACTCTAGAAACAAGAAATGGTCAAGTTGGGATGGGTCTAAATTTAGAAAACAGAGAGAGGAGTCCTTTATTCAGATATTACCGAAGCCCAAAAGAAAAAGGAGGGGATGCGGGGGTTGGGGGGGAGGAAAGAAGGGAGGGAGATTGGAATTGGGTGTTTGAATGCGGTGGGTATTGGAGGGAAGACAGGAGATAAACCCCTGGGACCACTACTCTGTGTGGTCCTGTACTAAGCACCTTGCACATGTTGTCTCATGCAATCCCTATAACTCTGTGATCATTTGAAGTTATAATTGTATAGAAGAGGAAGACAGACTGTAGAGGGAGTCTTTGCTTGGTTGATAGAATTAATTGGTTATTACAAATTCCACTGAAGGGAAAGAGGTTGTGGTTGTCCCTCATGGAGCTGGGCTCCTTCTTTGTCAAAGCCCAGGAAAGCATTGTACCCCTGCTATTTTACTGGATGCTGGGATGGTGATGGGGTGGCAGGGCATGATGGGAAAGTGCCAGCATGCACCTTGGGAAAGGAGACAGGGTGCCAGGAGCCCAGGAGAGAGAGAGTAGAAGTTCTTCTGTAGCTCTCCCACAGCTTCGCGGTGAGTCCATTCCCTCTCTCAGACTAACTCTAGAATTTAACCCAAGAAAACTGAGTTAGTAATCTGTGCCCTCTGGTCCTGGGAACTAAGCCAACCTTAATGGTGTTTCTTAACTCGGTTCTTGAATGTGTGGAGTTAAGTGCAGAACCCAAAGTTCCTTGAGGTGACAGTGATGGTTGTGGCCGTGTTCCCGGGGTTCCTTCTGGCTCTCCCCCAAGGGAAGGAGGAAGCTTGTGGAATGGGGCCGTTCAGCTTCTGTGACTAACTTTGGTGCTGGCACCCTGAGCCAGCACCTGGTATATCAAAATCGGCTTCCAAAGAACGCCCATCTGGACGCTTGAAGATGCATCTGTTTCACAAAACTATCCCAAGTATGAGTTTGTTAAATCTGCAGGTCCTTCCCCAACTACACCTCCATCTGGCTCCACCACTTCCTAAAGGTGTCCAACCTTTCAGGGGGCACAGAGATCCATTGCTAGAGAGAGAGGCCAGAGAAGAAAGACCACCCTACAGCAGGCAGCATCTAGGCAGTGGGAGCCGAGAGGCTGGTTCAGCCTGTCCAGAGCCTGAGGATCTGGAAAAAGAAAAATATACATAAGAACAAAAAACATTTTTTTCTATATTATATTATTACCATTACTGGCTATATATTATTGAATGCCTCTTGAAATCAGTATAGCCATTATCCCTATTATTATGACTATGGTTAGCTATATATTATTGAATATTATTATTTATCAATATCACTATTACTATCAATGTTACTATGATTAGTTACATGTTATTGAATGCTTCTCGGAAATGGTAAGGACCTTCTATAAATATTTTCTCTAAACTGATTCATAATGAATCTCCAGTTTAGAGACATAACGATATTGTTGCCCTACTTAAGAGACTTGAAAACTGAGGCAGAGAAGAACACCAACTTGTCTAATAACACAGAGCTAGGAAGTATTGGGGTGGCAGTGCACCCACAGAGCTCGGGGCATCTCATGTTCTCCCCGTGGTTAGGTGGTTCTACTTGAGGCTTTGCTGAAGATGCCAGGAGTCTGGGGGGAAAAGGAAGTGCAGGCACATTTCACAAATCTACAGTCTGTATCACATCCTGTGCGGCTATAAACTCTGGACTGAGGAAGGGCTGGTGATTTTCAAAATATGAAGACAAGTAGAAAATTCTGCAGGACCGTGTGAGAACCGAGAGTCTCCCAGGAGTTTGAGACTTCCGCTGGAAACAACAGGCTGGTCCACGGGCACAGGTAGGCAATGCCCAGTGACTGTTTTCAACTTCTGACTCCCCTGCTGTGACTCCCTTAGAGGGGATAGTGGATTGGAAGCTCCTGGAGAGAAGTTAAAAGGCACCAGATTATTCTGGAAATAGAGGGAAGGAGTTTTGGATTAACTTTTGCTACTGTTTTCTACCTGTGTGATCTCAGTGAGTCTCTTACCTGAGGTCATGTGATCCATGGGAGCACAAAGCTTCCCCTTTAGGCTGTTCTTGGGCCTTAGACAACTGGACATTCCGGGGGCTGAGAATGCTGATGTGAACAGATATCCAAGCCAAGCTCCCCAATAATACCGCAGACACTTGTGGTCACTCCTCAAGTGGAGGGCTCTGGCAGTGGAGGGCCCGGGCCTTGAACTTGGCTTTCATGACTCTGGTCCTGTTCCCATATTTCTGCATGCCACTGCTTCTCCAGAATGAATCAACACAGGCACAGGCTACTGTTGCCAGGTGGAAAGGACGAAGGGGTCACACAATCTAGTGAATTGTTCGAAGGCTTTCCATACTCAGGGAGAGCTGGGGTCCAATCTTGGCTCTACAACTCGCCAGTTGTGTAAACATCCCTGAGTAACCATCATAACTGCAAACATCTCTTCAGCATTAACTCTTTGCTGTGCATGTATGCAAAGTGGGTGTTATTTCCCTTCACAATAAACTTTTTGATTCTGAGTTTCCCTAACTACAACATATCAGCTGGGGCACCTGCGTGGCTCAGTTGGTTAGCGTCCGACTTCAGCTCAGGTCATGATCTCATGGTTCATGGGTTTGAGCCCCATGTTGGGCTCTGTGCTGACTGCCAGCTCAGAGCCTGGAACCTGCTACGGATTCTGTATTTCCCTCTCTCTCTGACCCTCCCCTGCTCATGCTGTCTCTCTCTCAGAAATAAATAAAACATTAAAAAAAAAAAAAAAGAACCAACTAACCTACAGGGTTGTTGTAAGGATTAAAGGCATTATAGGATGGGGGCACCTGGCTGGCTCAGTCCATAGAGCATGTGACTCTTGATCTCTGGGTCATGAGTTCAAGCCCCTTTTTGGGTGTAGAGCTTACTTTAAAAAGCAAAAGCACTAGAGGATAATGTCTAATAAAATACAATTTAAAAATACTTAGAATTAACCCTAATAAGTGTTATTATTGGGCTAAAAAATGAACAGTTAGGTAGCGTGAGAAGTACAGAACCTGAATAGGAAAACGTTGACGAATAGAACCCTTATTGCATCTCAACCCATAAAGACACCTGAGGGTGAAATTCATTGAATAGTTGGCTATTCCGTTGTTGGGTAGAACTAGGGAGAGCTTTCTACATATTGTAAGTTTTGTGTGACCATTTGCCTGTGGGCATTGAGACCTCTCAAGATTGGAGTGCCAAATGCTGGGGGGGGGGGGGCGGAATATTCATGATACTAACTTTTTGTGGTTTTCACAGCTGCAGGGTATCAATTTCCTTCCCTAAAAGAATTAAGTCAAGTCAGGACTAATGGGCAAATACTGGCTTCCAGTTTTGAGAGCCCTAAGAGCCCTATACTTTTAAAAGCTTAATTTATTTATTTTCTCTTTCAGAGTTCGTGGCACCATCATGATATCACAGCCCATGACCAATGAGGCTGTTGTAGTTCTGACACCAAATGGCATCAGATTCCCGCAAACAGGGGGACCCAAACCTACCAGCCAGAGACGGTACAGCCTGGTGAAACAGCTAAAAGCAGAAGTCAAAGTTCTTGGGGTAAGCTCAATTCAGAACATGCTGGAATGAGATGGTGGTGGGAGGGTGCTGGAAAGAAAGTGTAGTCTTGGGACTACATCGTGAATATGGAGGCTCTTAAGTTTTGTCAGAGGGACCCTGGGTTCATGAGTTGACCAATGGAAGCCATTTGCAGAGCCATCCAAACCTTCTCCAGACATAAGATGATGATGTTTTTCCCCTATTCTGAATACTAGCAATTGAGTTTTTGTTGGTTTCTGTATTTTTGCCATAGCCCACTTCTCAACATTTTCTTCTTGTAAAAAAAAAATCACTTTCTTTTTTTATTTTTTAAGTGCTTCATTTATTTTTAATAGAGGGAGAGAGTGTGTGTATACAATCTGGGGAGGGGCAGAGAGAGAGAGAGGGAGACAGAATCTGAAGCAGGCTCCAGGCTCTGAGCTGTCAGCACAGAGCCCAACAGGGGGCTTGGACTCATGAACTGTGAGATCATGACCTGAGCCAAAGTCAGACACTCAACCAATAGAGCCACCCAAGCCCCCCAAAAATCACTTTCTTGAAATTTAATCAGCATACAAAAAGCTGTATGTCTACGTTTTTTACTAAAGTAATGATGGTAAATAATTACATATTTTATGTTCATTTTTTCTATGTGTTCACCAATTGCATGTTTATGCAACCTGACTGATTTTTTGAAGGGAATTTTTCCTTCACCATAAATTATGAGAAAAATAAGCTTCTTTCCCATCTTTTATCTGTTTTGAGAACAGAGATGAAATGTGCCTTTTGTTAGCTTCTCTCCTCTCATGCATGATTTATATAGTTTGAGTTTAGCGCTCATAGTTTGAGTTTGCTAGGCAGAATAATTTATTAAAGGAGCTCTGTGGAGTGAAGGGGGAAGTACTGGGAGGGATATATGTAAGACTGAAATGGTCTCTGCAGTTATATGATCTAAGGCTACAGAACCTGGCGGGACCCATTGCCTTGCCTCAAATACATGATCCTGTGGGGTACTATGAGGCTCGTGGGACATAATATTTGGAAAACTGCTTGACAAATATTAATAGAGCTGGAAATGTCTGAGGACGATGTCAAGGAGGGAAACTTGGTCACTTGAAAGCCAAGATCCTCAGCTATAGGGACGTGGACTGGAGGGGTCAAGGAGCTGACCAGAGGCTCAGGCTCTCTGTTGTGTCAGCAGGGGTCTGGGAGATGTAGGGACGGACTTCATCACCAGTGCCAAGACAGAGTGAGGGCTTTCAGATCCCCCCTGTCTCCATAAGAGATAGAAGGGGAGAGTTGGTAGTAACAGAAGGAGAGAGCCAGGGGAAACAGTCTGGTATTGAGCCGGGAGCAAGAGCCATAAACAGACGAGGGCCAGAAAGGCAGAGATGCCTGAAGGTTTGCTGAGCACCAGCCAGATGGCCTGAGACAGCAGTTTTCTGTGACACAACAGCATCTCCTCCGACATCTTTGTGGAGTCCTTGCTCCAGACCTTTTTCAGTGTCTGTATCCTGGCTGGGATCCTGTAGAAGGTGATGATGGGTAAGTACCTTGGGAGAGCTAAAGAGGCCTGCCTTTCCAAATGCTGATTTTAATCCTCCATTTCCTTTCTTCTTCTTCCAACAGGCTATCCAGATCCTGTGCGGGGTGATGGTGTTGATTTTGGGAATCATTTTCGTATCTGCTCCCAACTCTCCATCCTTTACCCCAGTGTTTTCCATCCCTTTGAAGGCTGCTTACCCATTCGTGGGAGGCTTGTGTGTGAGTAGAGATCCTTAGGAGGACATGAGGGGTGTGAGTGGGAAGAGGATGCCCGGAGGGCAGGCTGTGCACCTGTAAGCTCACTGTCTGCCCGGAACACGGGGTCAATGGTAGAACACGTTTCCCTTTGTGTGTAGCCCAGGCAAGAGTTGAGTAGGGTGGGAGGGCAGAAGTCACCTGATTTTAAATCTATTTCTTGGTTGGCTCAAATAATCATGTCTTCTGAAGATCACCATACTTTTCATCTCATCACCTTGAGGATTTCACAAGTTTGTCCTCTTATCTATTCCAAGATCCCATCAAAGACACTTACATTACATTAAATAATTGTGTCTCCTTAGGCTCTTGTAAGGCTTTTTCAGACTTGTCCTTGAGGGTGTTGATATTCTTGAGTAGCACTGGCCAGGATTTTTAGAATTTTAGAAAGTTCCTAAGTTTGGGTTCATCTGATAACTCTTCTCACACCAGACTGGTTGTGATGGATTTTCAGGCGGAAGGCAACAGAGGTGAGGTGGTTCTCTCAAGGGCATAGGCTACCAACATGATTTGTCACTGAGGATATTAACCTTGACCCTGTGGCTGAGATAGAATCAGCAGCTTTCACTTGCTGTAAAGTCACTTCTTTCCATACTCTTTGAGAGCAAATCATGAAGCACAGCCGTGCTGATACAGGCACCCTGTCCAGTTTTCAAAACCCAGGATTTATTTAGGCAGACCTAAATTACTTAATGCTAGGGCCATGGAAGCTACAAGTTTTCTCTTCTCCCTATTTTGTCCCATTTTTTTCCATTGTTAAAGGATTTTCTGTTACTTAACTGTACCAAATCTATTAGATTATGAATATTGTAAAATAGTATCTTTGATTTTCTGAACACAGCCTTAATGATTTGCTGCTGTCCAGGCTTGTCTTCTCTCTGACCTCAGCCTCCACTCCACCCTAGCCAGGGGAGCCACCAATTTAAAATGTGGGTCTTGGTTCTCCCATATCTGTTAGCTTCTCTCACTCTTTTCTTTTTTCCATACCACTGCTTTCATATTTTTCTCTACATAATGTCTAACTACAAAACTCTCTTCTCTTGTTTAAAAAACACCTTCTTTCCTGGCTCTTAAGGCCTTAATTTTGTTTACTGGGATAGATTCCTACCTCTGCTCATGCTTTTCTGAATACTTTCTGGGAAAAACAGCCATATCTATGTAATTAATTGGGTCTTACGTTGTTGGTCATTGGTTCTCCAGGACTGTTTCCATAAAAGTTTTCCAGAAACACTGTGATAATAACATTGTAGCTTCATCTATACATAGAAACTGACCTCACCATTGTCTCTCCTTTCTGAGTAGTTTGTCATTTCTGGAACTCTGTCAGTCATCATGGAGAAAAAGTCAACTAAGCCTTTGGTGAGTATAAGAACTATAACCCACAACTCATGAATCGAAATGAAATTGAGGGAGAACTTTCCAAGGTCAATCTCTCTACCTTGCAAAGTTGGAAGCTAAATTTCAGAGCAGATATTTGGCAGAGTCAGGAACTGAGCCTGGATCATCTATATTCCTGTCTATTACACCCTCCTCCAATCACTGCATGTTCAATCACACACTTCATCCAGGGTACTCTTATACCCTACATCAGTGCCCAGGGATCAGTTCTAGAAAAAGTCTGCCTCCTTATAATGCCCCTTTGATGGTAACTGGACTTCAAATTTAGATCTTCAATGACAAAAAAGTGACACTATTATAAAGAGGTCTAGTTGTTGTAGATTCACTGTTTAAGCCCATCTGTCCAAACTCTTGAGAACCTAGTCAAAATTGTTATTTATGTGGGGAATTCTCTCTCATTCTTTTATCTATCTGATCTAAAAATTAATACTTCTGTTGGATTTGAGTATGAACTCTCGAGTCCTAAAAGTTGGCATTAGTTATTGGTATTGGATAAGAAAACAACTTCACCTGCATTTAACTCTTCCAGGAAAACCAGAACCGGGTGTGGCAGGGAGAGAAAAACTGGATTATAGGGAGATTTCTAATCTGTAAAGTTTTACTAAGTCCTCAATCAATCCTAGACCCCTCAAGTAGTTTGATGTTGGGGGTCACATGTGAGAATGCCATAGAACATAGTAACACAGAAACTCAATTTGGAAGCTCTACTTACCAAAATCTCCTGTAGGCAGCAGGAAATTAGAGAGAGTGCTCAGGGCAAAGCCAATCTCTCTCTCTCTCTCTCTCTCTCTCTCTCTCATTCTCTTGCTCTCTCGCTCTCTCACTCTCCATCAGAATTTAGAGACTGATGACTTGGAACCCTTTCCTAGCTCCCAAGCTGCTAGGTAAGTGCTGTCCTGAAGAATTTACTGTAGTAATAGAGATGGAGTAATCACACTGCCAGGTATGGTAGTCACATGTTGCAACTGAGAACAGGAAATGTGGCCAGTGAAACTGACAAACTGAACTTCGTATTTTTTTATTTCAGTTTACTTTAAATATAAGTAGCCCACGTGGCTAGTGACAACCATATTGGATAATGTTTCTAGGGGTGGCTGGGTGGCTCAGTCCATTAAGCATCCATCTCTTGACTTCAGCTCAGGTCATAATCTCATGGTTCTTGGTGTCAAGGCCCGCATTGGGCTCTGTGCTGACAGTGTAGAGCTTGCTTGGGATTCTCTCTCTCTTTTCTGTCTGCACCTCCCACACATGCACATGCTCGCTTGCTCTTCCTCTCCCTCAACTAAATACACATTTTTAATTTTTTAAAGGTTTTTTTAAAATTTATTTCTGAGAGAGAAAGAGACAGCATGAGCAGAGGAGGGTCAGAGAGAGAGGGAGATACAGAATCTGAAGCAGCCTCCAGGCTCTGAGCTAGCTGTCAGCACAGAGCCCGAAGCGGGGCTCAGATTCTCAAACCATGAGATCATGACCTGAGCCGAAGTCAGACGCTCAACCGACTGAGCCACCCAGGTGCCCCAATATACATTTTTTTTAAAAAGCTAATATTTCTAGATTTTTAGGGGGAAGCTTATGGGACTCTTACCCCTGAGAAGAGCAATGACAGAGTGAACAGGGCAGCAAACTCAAGGCCATGGGGTGTGGGCTTTGGGTGTGCTCTGGCTCACCAGAGCCATCTATCTTGTAGTGAATTCTACTGTGCTCACACATTATACCAGCCCTTTCTGAGGTTGAGGACGAATACTGTCCCAGAACAAAGCTAAATTATTCTAAGAAATCTATACATTAGAAATCATGATTTGCTGGTTATCAGGAGGCCCAGGAGCATGCACCTTAGTCATTATTTTAGGGAACGGGGTTAGGAGGAGAAAAATGCCCTCCCTATTCTCTATCATGCCCGAAAGTTCCAACTGCTAAGCCATTAAAGAAAGAGGAACCTAGATAGGATTATGTGATATTCTATTTTATAACTACTTGGTGTGCCCTAGACCACACTCACCTATAAATATAGCTTCCAGGATCATCCTTGCTCAATTCCCCTCTTCTGTGAGTTGGCGTAGAAGATTCCTCATCTCTGAGATCAGTTTATTTATTGCCCTCACTCACTTCACGCATGTAGAAATGAAACCCAGAGTGGGAAATGAACTGAGGGACTGAGCACTCAGGAAAACTGAGAGGGTCACAGGCAAAACTACTACCATGACCTCAGCTTCCTAACACCCAGTCTGGCCTTCTACTTCACACTGCCACTCACATGCTACACCATCCTCAGGCCTGAGGCTAGAATTCTGTCTAAACTCATTCATACGGAACCCTGGGTGCGAGTACCCAGAGCCTGTACACTCCAGGGCTCACCTAAGCCTGAGTACCATGTCCCCATATTTATCTCTGGGTGTGTGGGTATTTAAGAGGGTCGTGTGCAGGGAGGAGTGCCTCCTCTGTGTAGCCAATGCTTCCACCAGGGGTTTCTGAATGAGCTGGGGGAGAAAGAAATCACACCTGCCTTTGGTCATACTTTTTGGTGGATTCTGTAGGCACGGCCTCATGGAGTCCAGCCAGCAGTTCTGGGTAAAGAATTTAGGAGAGTAACATTCTCTGCCACCTACTGAAGTCCTACCTGGGGAGAAACATTTCATTTATTCGTTTACTTATCCAAGATATAACTTTTAGGTGCAGAGATATTGCTAAGTGCTGGGGAGACATATGGGTTTAAGTCTACCAACACTAGACTTCCTGAAGGACATAGATAAGAAAATAAGGTTTTGCAATGCCTTGGCAGAGAGAGATAATAGAACATTTGCTGCTTGTCAGGAGTGATTCTTACTCAGCATTTGTCTGTCAGGTTTGGAGCAGCGTGGCTGCAAACATTCTGAGCTCTCTATGTGCCCTAGTGGGTTTTATTCTCCTCTCTGTAACCTTGGCTGCTTTGGATCCTGCCTTTCGGAAGTGTACCTTCAACCAAAAGAACAGAGAACTCGAAGAGACTACATTTCACTATTATGTTCACCCACTTATTGACAAAGAATGCTTCACGGCCAAAAGCACTCTGACTGTAAGTATATTTAGATGGGGTGCTCCAGTCATGTGAGGTTTCTGAAAGCCTTGACTTTTTGTTATCCCTTCTTTTGAAAATCTGTCTGATTCTTTATGGTTTGGGCATCTGGGAGAAGGCCAACCCTCTGTCTTCCCAAAGAAGGGCACTGCCTAACTGAGGTGACAGGGAGAGGCTCTGGTGTAGTGAAGAGGAGTAGAACAGGAAATGCCAAATTTGATGAGGAAAAGCTAAAACTTACCATTGATAGAGGTTCTTAATAATCAAAGTAATTCTGTTGTTAGAGTCATAAAATATGAGTTTACCAAACCGAAAATCTTGGCACATGGAAAGGTACATTCAGAAAGTCAAAGACAGCAGGAAGACGCAAGTGATCGGGAAGTATGTGTACTGGGGTGTTGACTCGGCCTGAGCAGACATCAGGCCCAGCACTGAGAAGTAGAGGGTAGGAAGTCTGACCTTGGAGGTGAGGGCTTCTCCTTCTGGTGACCACAGTGATGAACAGGATTAATCAAGTGAGAAAGCAACATCATTGTTGTTATAACTTAAGAGATGGAATTTATTAATATTAAATTAAGAAATATGTCTAGGAAGATGAAGAGTGTTAACCGATAATAATTGCCATTATTGGGGAAAAGAAAGCAATGAAGTTTAACTAATAGAAATAATGTCTCAAGTTGGAGCATTCAAGGGAATGGGTATGGTGAGAAAACCCTGAGAAAGACACAAATAAAGAGGCAGCAGAAAATGTGTTGTCCTGCAATCACCAAAGTGGATGATGTCAAGGACACAGCTGGAGGATGGCCAGAGCTGGTCAAGCATGTGCTTGCACACCATTCCTTATGGAGCTGGCCCAAGCAACTTGCTTCTCTCCAGGTTCGTGATATGATCAGGGGAAGAGGTACATGCAAATGAGGTTGACAGTAATGGACCTAACCCCGCACTTGGAGGATCCAGCTCCATTGTGGGAATAATTCTGGACAGAAGTTTGGGAGGGATTTGTATAATGAATAAAGTATGAATTCGTGAGGGATCATTTTGCTTTATAAATAAAGGGATTAGCGTGGGCTTGCTTGCTATGACAATTTCTCATTAACGTCAACAAGTTGGATTTCCTCTTCCACTATGTATAAATAGACTAGAAGCCTGTGCAATCACTTTTTCTCTCCTGTCCTATCATCTTGCCAGGTCTGCATGAAGGATGCCTCAGGACAGAAATGGTAGAACCGAGTCTCTTGGGGAAGCATCTTCTTTGAGTTGATTTGGTTTGTTAGATGATGATGTTTATGCTATGTTTATTGCCTTGATTGTTTTTTCGAACTCTCGCAGATGTCAAGAAAAGCTAAGAAAGCCCATCCAAAGGGGGTGTTAATATTGAACTTTACAAAGGGCTTGCACCAATGAGGTCAAAACCTCATTGGTTCTCAGATCCCTCTGAGAAGGAAGTATCAAGGTGCACATTTGATAAATGAGGAAACAAGCTAGAGAAGTAGAGACTTCAGGCTCACTCAGCTACTAAGCGGTAGAGGTGAGGCTGAGGCTAGAATGGAATCTGGCATTTCTCAGCCCTGGGAGTTATCATACTACCAGCTGAGTCAACAAGGTCATCAGATGTAGCTATGCCTCCAAGCGAGTGGAGACAAAGTGGGTTATGTGTAGCTGATGTGGTTAAGGCTCATCCTCCCTCTCAAGTGTCTAAATAAGCAAAGGGTTTAAACTAAGTCAATTACTAGGCTGGGAAGGAGCAGTGTGCTCTTGCTGAGGGTGTTTCTTCCTTCACTCTCTGATGGTTGAGGCGGTCTTCATCTCTTACAGTCACCACCCAACAAGGGATGAGGGCTTCGGTTGACTCAAGCACTGCCAACCTTGTATTCCCTACATTGCAGGGAACTCTGTCTGTGATGCTGATATACACGGTGTTGGAGCTCTGCCTGGCCGTGCTCACTGCTGCGGTTTGGTGGAAACAGGCTCACTCTGACTTCCTTGGGGTGAGTGTGCTGGCCAGCCTCCCTGAGTCCTGCTAGGTGTCTTTCAGGTTCAGGACTGAGTTGAGTGATGTCAGCAAGAGTGGCAGATGGGCCGGCAGTTGTCGGTCATGAGATACACATTAGAGCCGGTGTGATGGGGATGGAAGACAGATGAGGAAAGCAGAACAGCTGGGGAGCTGATTGGCTGAGGATTAACCAAATGGGGTGGTTGAACCTGATAAATTGACTGGTTCAATCTTCCATTTTGTAAATGCAGAAACCTGGAAGTGAAATGACTTGCCTGGCATGGTGTATGAGTCTGTGCTATGCTTGGGTCCCTAGAACTTGGTTTGTGTCTTTCCTAGACAGCCCCAGTCTCCTTAACAGTCTTGACTTAGTGAAGGACATTTGCACACGACTGGATTTGGTAAACGTCTTTTGCTCTGGCCTCGACTTCCTGTGATCTTTACATTCTTTTTTCATCTAAAAGATACTTTAAAAAAATTGTTGTTTCAAATTCCATAGGACAGCACCCTCCCACCACTATAGACCCACGGCTTCATTTAACCGAATTAAAAAGCCTTGATTTATCCAAAATTTTATTACAGAAAGCAGAATGAATACTGAGCTGATGAGCAGCACTTATTTAAAGAGCTTAATGACATGCTATATTCATCTTGTATAACACACACACGCACACACTCAGAGATTGGAGGAAATGACATCGAGAGATGTATATATTAAGCCGAACCTGAATGAAGTCTGAAGAACTAACATATGAAGAACTAACGTATTTTGTTTCTTTTAGAGTGTGCTTTTCCTGCCTCAGAGTTACAAGAATAAATCCAGCACAGCCTCAAAGGCATTTCATGCCGACCCTGGATACAAAGAACTCGTGACTTCTTAGGGGAAATACTCATCAGAAATTTGGTTTTATGATAATATATGAAGACCAGCCAGAGAAACTCAAGAAAGCAAAGTTTGAATTCCCTGAAATGTAGGATTTATGTAATGAACACTGCAAATATATATGCATATATGTATATGTATATATCTATGTGTATATATATATATTTGTTTTGTTTTCTTGTTGTTGAATATATGTGTTCATTGGGGGTGTTTTGATTTGGCATTAGGTAAAGGTGCAGATGTGTAAATTACCATTGGCTAGACAGCCAAATAGTCAGACATTTACCAAAACACTAGACACGATTGTGTGATTCAGTGATTCTGCTGACGTAAAGGAGACAACTCATTCTTGTCCCCCTTAATCACCAACCGGAATTAGCTGACTTACAGTGGTGTTCAGACTCGTTTATAGCAGACAGTAGTGTTTCATCACATGATTTTACTCATTACTGTATGCAGATAAACCCCCTACAATTAAATCTCAGAAGCTGTGTAAGTAATGGGCTTCGAAATAAAATCTTTCTTTGATTTCTATGATGTGTATTTTGTCAATACCACCAAGCAATTAACTCAATTCCAATACTATCTACCTGGAGATAGCATCTAACCTTACAGGTTGAGGGCTCAGTCCTACTAGACCATGATCCTATCACCCACTTCAGACGGCAGTAGTAGGTCCAGATTGTCACCTGAGCTTCTGGCTCACTGGCTATAGATTGAGGTTCCCAAGCCCCCCTCCTTAGTTCAACTAATTTGCTAGAGTGGCTCACAGAACTCAGAGAAATGTTTCGCTTACATAGGGAAGAGATACAGAGGACAAGGAATGGGAAAGGATGTGGAGGACTCCTCTTCCCGAATCTCCTTGTGTTTACCAGGAAGCTATCCCAATCCTGTCCTTCTGATGTTTTACGTAGGCTTTGTTACATACTCATGATTGATGAGATCATTGGCCATTGGTGATAAAACTCAATTTTTAGCCCCTTTCTCCTTTCCAGAGGTTGGGAGGGGTGGGGGATGGACTGATAGTTCCAATCTTCTAATCAATCATAAGGTCGGTTTCTCTGCTTGGGGAGGGTCCCCAATGGATCCTTAGGTTCCCTGAGGGCTCATCAACATAAAATAAACTCATTAACATAAAAACCAACTCATTAACATAAAAAATATATCTTTACTGTTCTATCGCTTAAGAAATTCTACAGATTCGCAGAGCTCTGTTCCAAGAACTAGAAGACTATATATATATATTTCTTATTATAAATATCACAAAATATTAATTACATATTTTTGGAAACTCCTTTTTTTCATGTGTCCTTTTAAATACAGAGTAAGTCAGTGAAATGAAAGATACACACCTAACCTTGAACCCCCTTCTCCCTGATCAAATACTCAAACAAAACAAAGGAGCGAGGACTAACTAGAATATTTATTGTTATTTAAGAGGCAACCAATTCATATTCTTTTCCTGATTTCAAAATAGGAAAGAGCAGTTGTCCCATTGTAAATGTTAAGCCTCAACACATATACACACATGTGCGTACACACATACACACACATGCTGGGTGTAAAAAGACTCCTTCTAATTTTCTATAAGCTCTATTTTTTAAAGATTTTTCTCACGTTCTCCCTACCCTGACCCACCACGTCAGGATCACACCCCCTATGTCAGGTCTGATGCTCAGTTTCCCTGTTCTATTTTTCACTGTGAGAGTAGAATGTTGGTTTTGACTTCTCGGTCTTTCTTCAAACTCTCTCCTCATTGTCTTCTTCCTGCTGCCCTTCCTCCCTACATATGCATATGGACACCATTCCTCTTATTTGCTTCTTACGGAGAGTCAACATCTATCCGCACGTTGAGAGTACCAGACACTATGTTTGATGCCAAGATTACAAAGGTGAATAAAGTACACTCTTTTGCTTCAGGAAATTCATAATCAATTCGGCAAAACAGATGACAATAAAGTTGGAGAAGGACCATATAGGGCATTAAGGGCTATTTGAGCCCAGAATAAAGAACGCCCTCCTCTGCTTAAAAGAACATAGGGAATAAACATGTGTGTGTGCATGTGTGTGCGTGTGTGTGTGTATGTGCACATATGTGAATATGAGCAAGAGAGAGATTCTTCCTTTGAGAACTCCATCTCTGCAGTAGACACTACCATAGTAGGGCTGTCAACCACAAGGGGCCACCCTCCTCTCACACACAGTTGGTATCCTCCATCATATCGTCCCCACACCACCCCTCCACTTCCACCATGATTAAATGTAAAATGTCTAGAACCGGGAGCTCATCCTAGACCTCTCTTTGCTTTGACTCCTTTCCCAGAAAAGGCAGCCAGCCCTTTAGGCAACACTCAAAGTCACTTCTTATCATTGGTTCAACATAACCACTAAGTTAGCCATCTGTGTCTTTTAAGCTGCCATGTCCCTCTAGCGTCTAATGACGCTAGCGTCTAACGACGAAATGAGACTGACGTCTACTTTGAGATCTGAAGATGTATTGAAAACACATGTGTAAAGCACTTACCATTGTACAGAAAATGCTCAGTTAACTTCAGTTTTATTTTCTATTTTCTTCCACCTCCCCTCTTATTCCCCTATACCAACTTAATTCTCTAAACAATTTGAATCTCCGTCTGCCTCTGGGATTTCGAAACCGATTAATCTCCTAAAATCTTTCATTTCTCCAAGAGAGTCTGTACAGTGGTCTAAACAGAAGCTCAGACCGCAGCAATTTATTTTCTGTTCCCTTTGCTACCAAGGAAGATTTTAGAATTAAAGGCCTTTTTTCAGAGCTTCTGCACAGGTGACTCTACTGACATCCAGTGGTGATAATGAGAAACACTCCCCCTCCCCTCCCCCGAGATAAATAGAAAAGGCAAGCCAGGGTAATAACTCAGTATCCATGGAGAATTTCCCTGCGGGCAGCTAATTTGACAGTACAAAATCGTATCTGCAAACTTTGTCTTCACATGTCATTGCTGAGAGGGGACAATGCATCTTTCAGAAATAATTTTTTATTTGTAACTTCAAAAAGACTCAAAACATTACCATAAGAAGCTAGAATAGCTATATTCATATGGAATAAAATATAATTTAATATGAAACATTATTAAAGAGAAAAAGGGATATTTTATCATGATAAAAGGGTCAACAGAGCAGGAAGAAACAAGTGTAAATAAAGGTGTAATTAACAGCAGAGCCCCCCAAATATAGGAAGCAAAAACTGACAGAATTCAAAGAATTCAGCAACTCTAACTGGGTTTCAATATTTTATCCCCAATCATAGATAGAAAAGCTAGACAGAAAATCAAGAAGGAAATAAAAGACTTGAACATTATTAACCAACTTTACGTGACGCACATCTATATGATAAATCTTAATATAACCTATATTATTTGTAGTAATGCATTTGTTACACAACAATAGAACACAAATATAGATCATATGCTAGAACTTAAGACAATAAATTTTAAAAGATTGAAATAATATAAAGTTCTCTGAACAAAACAGAATTAAAGAAGAAATCAATAGGAGAAAGACTTTGTAAAATCCCTGTATAGCTGTAAATTTAAATCACTCATTTCTCGGAGCTCCTGGGTGGCTCAGTTGGTTAAGCGTCTGACTTCAGCTCAGGTCATGATCCCACAGTTCATGGGTTCGAGCCCCACGTCACACTCTGTGCTGACAGCTAGCTCAGAGCCTGGAACCTGCTTCAGATTCTGCATCTCCCTCTCTCTTTGACCCTCCTCTGATCATTCTCTGTCTCTCAAAAATAAATTTAAAAAAACATTTAAAACTAAATAAATAAGTAAATAAATAAATAAATCACTCACTTCTCGACTGATTATGGGTAAAAGAAATTTAAAAAAAGAAATTGGAAAATATTTTAAGTTGAATAAAAAAGAAAACATATTAAATGTATGGGAGACAGCTAATGCTGGGCCTCGAGGAAAACTTATAGCTGTAAGTGCTTATATCAGAAACAAAAATGTCTCAAATCAATAGCCTAAGCCCCCCCCTATGAAACAGGAAAAAGGGAGAAAAAATTAAATTCAAAGTAAGCAGAAACAAGGAAATGTTTAGAGAACAGGAAAATAATAAACCAAAATCAAGGGAACTAAAGTTAGTTCTTTGAAAATGCCAGCAAAATTGAGAAACTTCAGCTAGACCAAACACTAAGGAGAGAGAAAACACACATTATCAAAATCAGTTACAGAAGAGGGCACACCATCACCAACTTCACAAATGTTAGAAGCATTATAAGGGCCTTATATATAATTCTGAACAATTGTATGCCAGCAACTTACACAAATAAATGAAATTGTAAGATAGAAATAAATTACCAAAACTGATCCAAAAAGAATTAGAAAATATGAGTGAATCTATAACAAGTGAATAAACTGAAATAATATTCAAACACTTTGCCACTAAGAAGCTCAGACCCAAATAGGTTTCCTGGTGATTATATCAGATAATTAAAGAAAAAATATGGGACACCCGGATGGCTCAGTCGGTTAAGGGTCCGACTTCAGCTCAGGTCATGATCTCATGGTTCGTGGGTTCGAGCCCCGCGTCAGGCTCTGTGCTGACAGCTCTGAACCTGGAGCCTGCTTCGGATTCTGTGTCTCCCTCTCTCTCTGACCCTCCCTTGCTCATACTCTCTCTCTCTCTCAGAAATGAATAAAACGTTTAAAAAATAATAACAATACATTACAAACTTCTTCGCAAAAGAAAAGAGGGAACACTCTCAGCTCATTCCATGAGCCAGTATTACCCTGATACCAAAGCCAGGCAAAGACATTAGAAGCAAAGAAAGCTACAGAATAATATGCCTCAAGACTGCCATTTTTTCCCATCCTCCTGCAGTCACCAGAGCAAATAAGATGCCCATTCTGGTGGTACCTCTTTTATCACAGCATCAGTCATAACCCAGGCAAGAGCCATCTCACCTGGGAGCTTGTTTTATAGTCTTTTAGAGCCATTCTGACGCCACCAGCTTTTGTGGTATTTCTATGGCTTCAGTAGATGTTGACCGTCATAAGGCAAAGGAAGGACAGTAGAGAATTTGCCTTTTTCTGAGTGTAAATGATGCACCGCTCCGTTGGTTCATCCTAAACTAGTTCATCCTAAACTAAACTAAATTCTTAGGAGCCATCTTTATAGATGTAGACAATTGATCCGCGAGAGTTGTCCAGGTTCCTTTGGCTGGTGCTCCTCCTGCTGGCCAAAAAGGGAAAAGTTCACTCCTGCTCTTGCTAAGCAAGAACATTAACAAGGAATTGTTAGCTGACTTGCCACTTTTTTGCAGTTTCTTACTCATCCATTTTGCTAGATCCTCAGATCCAGTTTCTATCGTTTCCATATTATACCGGGAAGTTCTGTTATCAAGCAACTTATTTTAAAGTCTGGGCTACTTCAAACTGAAGAAGTTCAGTAACCATCTGTGCATTCCCTTTATCAAAACCACCCTTTGGGGCCCCTGGGTGGCTTAGTCGGTTAAGCGTCCGACTTTTGCTTAGGTCATGATCTCGCGGTTCGTGGGTTTGAGCCCCGCATCGGGCTCTGTGCTGACTGCCAGCTCAGAGCCTGGAGCCTGTTTCAGTCTGTGACTCCCTCTCTCTCTGACCCTCCCCTGCTCACGCTGTCTCTCTCTCTCTCCTAGAAATAAAAAAATAAAAAATAAAAAAAACCCACCCTTTTTATTTATAAATACATCCTTAGCAATATTTTTAGTGAAAGACGAATCTGGGTCTTCAGTACCATGTCATTTCTGATGCCAAATGTTCTGATGGTAGCTGTTAGGGTTTAATTTCTAAAGAAGACTCATAGGATCCAACTGGACTATGCGTACAACTTTAGGACATATTTTGCAGGATTAGGACACGATATAGCAACAGCGTTAAACTAAAGCTGTGTGTTCCAGCTAAAGACTGCCTCGTTGCAAGGGCTCCATAATGCCAGGCTTGTGCCCCAATTGCCCTGCCTTCTTCTTTCTGTTTTTGAGAGGGAATCCCAACAGGAACCCTCAGGACCGGGGAGCCCTCAATTGTATTGGTCTGGGAGCTTCTTATGCCTGGCTTGACACACAGGCATGTTATTCAACCAGTCCCAATAACATACCATCCTGCGATCTCACTGAAGCCACATGCACATCACTAGTCACACTGTTATCGATAAATAACGCTGACAAGTTGGCCCAAACCACCCAGAAACTCCTGAGTCCCATAGTTACAGAGCAACACAACGAATCAATGTGCTCATGCCTTGACCAAGGGTCATCCCTCCACAGGTGCTCCCGAAAAACCACTCAGGTCTGTTTTCAGCTTCCTGAAATTAACCCTTACGACACAGGCCTGCGTTTTGACAGGCTTGGCTTGACTAATTACTCCTTGTGTGATCTTGGATCAAATCACAGCTTCCTTTTTTTTTTTTAATTCTAATATATAGATAATAAGTAGACCCCTGTGTCTGTCATGTCAGGACTGAAGAAGGAATTCTGAACACCATTCACTATACCTTGTTCGTAAACATTGGTTCTGTACATGTGACTCTCGGATGTTTGAGATAAGAAGGAAACGTTACTTTAGCCTTTCAAAAGCATACTCTCAGCAAGGAGAAAAAGCATTGGGCAGAGAAGGGGGGCCAGGGTTTGAAGGCACCTTTTTTGATAGGGGCACCTTAAGAACGTAACTAGAATTAAACAGAGCTATTCACATAAATGTGATTTAGGGAGTTTGGGTCTAAATAAAAGAATCAAGTGGAAACAGATACAGTGGAGTACGTACCATCAAACAAGATCAGGAAACTGTTGAAATATCTCTGTTTCTGAGCGTGGTAGATTGTTGATTATCCTCCGATAATATTAAGGCTAGCTTATCTCTACCACCCTTGTATTTGACCTAAAGTTGAAAATAAAGAAGCCTAGAGTAACAATTCTACCATAACAATCTTTCTCCATAGAGGGTCAACGGCAGGGTTGACTGGGTCAACTCAATGAACGATATGAAACACAAGGTTGCAAACCAGGATAGCTTGTGACTTAACACCCACTAGCAACCTGGGATAGACATCAAGGTAGGCACAGCTCATTTTCGGTTTTATATATTTCTGGTTGAGTCTGGCAATGATTCTGTGCTTGAGCCTGGACTGAGGATCCACAAAATCCCTGGACTGGGAGCAGATCTGAGCTGGAAGAGTGAGGACCCAGGGAGGGGAAGAGAGAGCAGAAAATTCTTTCTCTACCAACTTGGCAGTCACTCTGTGCCAGTATTTTCTCTTACTATTATTTGTGTAGTAAAGATATAGGCACAGATAATATTTTTACAAATACTGTATCTACTGCCCGGAGTCCACAGACAGCAGCTTTTTGCCTCATTTGCTTAAATGTTATATAATTAAAAAATTAATAAATCATTGTAGGCAGAGTTAAAGCCTCAGCCCTGAGCTACTGGCCCATTTTCCTTCCTTCTGGATTCAAAGACAATCATTATTTTCCCCTTCCCAAACATGTAAGATTTTTACCACACAGATGTATATGTGTGCTCATACACATGATAGGGCAATGTTTTATTTTACAATTAGAGTTCTGAAAAATAAGATTATCATCTTCATCAGAAGCTGAATATACCTTTTTTTAACTTTGAAATACACAGACAGAAAGGTCTGTGGAGGCAAGAGAGTGATAGAAGTAATTCAGGAAGTTTCTAGAGCAGCATGTGCCACCCTTAATTTCTGTCCGTCCTTTGCATCAGAATTCATCATTTATCCATAAAAGTGTTACTTGATTTTGTTTTAAAATTTCAACAATAGATTCCAATCTTCCTTTCACTGTTTGCCATTAATTTATTTAAAAAGTAAAGGATGTTCTCCTGTTATATTCCAAGTGATGTTCTAGAAGCTAAAGAAACAAAGATCAAGAAAATCTCGTATACTAGCATGTCAGTCAGAAAATGAAACATTTTGCCACTACTTTTTATATTTGACTTAATATATTATGTAGTTGATTTAAACTTTAGAAGAGAGGCGTTTCAGTGAGGGTGGCATAATCTGATAATCTATGTATTTTTAGTGACAATGTAAATAGATAAAATCTTTTGGCATGGAATTTGGGATCTGTAACGCATGCTCTTATCCTTATGCTTTGATCTAGTAATCCCATAAAAGGGAGTTTATAAATATAAATGTTAAATGCATACTTATTTACAGTAACAAAAATAGGTCACTTAAAACATATATGGCATCTAGGGGCACCTGAGAGGCTCAGTCGGTTAAGCGTCCAACTTCAGCTCAGGTCATGATCTCATCGTTCGTGGGTTCAAACCCCATGTTGGGCCCTGTGCTGACAGCTGAGAGGCTGGAGCCTGATTGGGATTCTCTGTCTCCCTCTCTCTGCGCCCCTCCCTTGCTTCTGTTCTCTCTCTGAAGAGTAAATAAATAGAAATTTAAAATATACATTTATGGCATCTTGAAAACGCTTAGTAGATCATACCATTATTCTTTTTTAAAAAATTGTGCAAACACTGCTAGGAATTTACCCAAGGGGTACAGAAATGCTGAGGCATAGGAGCACATGTACCCCAATGTTCATAGCAGCACTCTCCACAATAGCTAAAACATGGAAAGAGCCTAAGTGTCCATCAACAGACGAATGGATCAAGAAGATGTGGTTTATCTATACCATGGAATACTACATGGCAATGAGAAACAATGAAATCTGGCCATGTGTAGCAACATGGATGGACCCTGAGGGTGTTATGCTGAGCGAAATAAGTCAGGCAGAGAAGGACAAATACCATATGTTTGCACGTATAGGAGGATTAGGAGGAACTTGACGGAGGAACAAGGGGGAGAAGAAGGGCGGAAATGGTGGGGGAAAGGGAGAGAGGCAAACCATGAGAGACTCTTGAATACTGACAAAAACTGAGGACTGATGGATGTGGGGGGGAGGGGGGATGGGCATGGAGGAGGGCACTTGTGGGGATGAGCACTGGGTGTTATGTGGAAACTAATTTGACAATAAACTATTTGTAAAAAAGAAAAAAAAATTGTGCAAACAGAAAAGTGATAATTAACAGACACTTGGATAGATTTTTAATACATAATGTGAGTGTAAAACATTTAGAGACAAGAGTGCACATAAATCATAATTAAACTTTCAAAGGCCATTTTTGTACATCAGCAAATACTGGAATGGAATGAAGGCAAATACTGCTAGTTGTGTCCAGTTAACTTTTCTCTATTTTTTCACAATCTTATAATGCATTAACATGTTAGACACAGAAAAATAGTATAGCTTTCTGAAAGAAAAAAAAGTAATGTAGGCTTAGAAGGAAAGGTCAGTCGAGTGAAATCCGTTCTGTTGTATGCTAAAAATGGATCATATTGAAATTTTAGGCAACGATACGGAGAATTCATAGGAAAACTTAAATTGCTCTATTCTGAGGAGAAAAAAAATTAACTAGAAACACGCATCACGTTTCAGATTATTAAATAACTTCAATGAATTGTCTCAATAACATTACGTCAGAAGATCCTTATGAGGTCTAAATCACAGCTGAAGAAATAGAAACTCAGAGAATGTATGTGAATTGTCTGAAGCCACTGTGCAAATAACTGGGGAAGTCGGGATTCATGCCCGGGTGTACCTGACCTTAAGGTATGCATTCTTTCCATCCAATCCACAGCTTCATTTTTTTTGCACATGTGTGAGAAACAACAGAGGTGTCCCCTCTACAGTGGGTTTCTGGAAAGTGAGTTCCTGGAAAGTGGTAATAAATCCAGTGGGTTTCTGGAAAGTGGTAATAAAGCTGTCCAAGTCTCTGTTGTATTCTTATCCCATCCCTGCCTGTCTCCCACTACTGTCCTCCAGAATTCCATATTCCGTTGATTCCATCCTGGAGAGCTGTAGAACCCCCCACCCCTCCCAGGCCTCAAGTAAGGGTTGCTTATCAATCCTTCAGATAGATTTGAGAGCCAGGTTAACAAGTTTTACATGTGATCCATTTTCCCAGTGCCTTCCCTTCCTATGAAATACAATCCTCTCAGGACTAGGAAGCACATGGCCGCTTTCTTTGAAACACCTCCCAGAAATGTGTGTGGCATTTTGCACACTGAGGGCAGTAGGGCTTAAGGAAGAACTTTGACTACATGTGGTGTCTTACAGAATGAGCCGTGTCGTTGCTACTGAGGGGATTGTGGAGGGCATTTCAGCAAATGAAATTCACAATGCGCAAGTGGGACAAGCAGATGCATCTGATTTAACTCAGCGTCTACACAGCAAGCTGCATGATTTCCTTAAAAAGAATCTGCAATCCCTGGGTGTAAGTTACCTTTAGTCCTATAGACATTTAGGGGTGAGTTATGGGAAATTAAATGGTCTAAAATTTTATTTGGGAGGAATTATTTTATGCCAGTTCACAAGATTGGGTAAAAAATGGGTGAGAAAATATATCTGGGAGTCCATTTAGGTCAGATGTTTTGGTTTGAAGGTGTTCCAGGCTCCCAGAGTTCAAATGGGATGTTTGTGCCCAAATATAATATTCCCATTAGGTAATAATCATCCACAGGGCTTGGTAAACCAACACCATTTCTTTGGATTTCACTCTTCCAAGATTATTTTTAAGAGCCAATGAAGGTGGAAAAGATAACATGTGATTCACACGTGACCTTGAGATTGAGGGAGAAAAGTCTGTAACAGAGAGAGTTTCTACTTTCCCCCTTGTATTTTTTTGTTCCTCCAGGTAGCTCAGATAATGATTGGCCTGAAATGTTTCTTATTTGGGATCATGGAGATTTTTTTTTACTGGCACTTGGACTTGAGGAATCTTTTATTCTGCTTTTATATTGGCTACCCATTCTGGGCTGCGGCATCTGTGAGTATATCTGTTTGAACTACTTTGGGAATCAAAGAAGCTATTTAGCAGTTATAAATAAAGGGAAAAGTGTATTTAATTAGTTTGTCCTCTCTTTTTATAGACAATGGCTGAGACTCTTTTTTAGACTTTTTTAGAGACACTGTGCCAAGTAGGTAGGGAATTTGTAAGAGAGAAGGTTACAACGGACCTTACCATCAGGACCAATTGTAAGTGTTTGGCAAAAAAAAAAAAAGTGCTCTTGAGTCCCATGCTCCCCACTTTGAAGGGAATCGTTCTTACCCGAGATGTTCCAGGTGTACTTTGAAAGCAAACGAACTTTCAGATTGGAATATATTTGGACAGATTAGGATGGGGGTGTACAGGGCAGAATCATTCATCCCATCCAACTCTATCACAGTCGATGGCATCTACCTTGAGCTCCTGCCTCACCTTCTTCCCACATCAATATTCTTCCATCCATATGCCTAAAATGGACCCAGATTCAACTCGGTTCAGTTCGATGATTTGTTCTTTAGGAATATTCTGTTGGACTGGGGCTCAGGTTAAGTCATCCAAGGTGGAGGTGGGTGATGGGGACAGGAAAGTGTTCTCCCCTGTTAATGTCTTCCCTGTCTTATGAACAGTTCATCATGTCTGGATCTTTGACCATCTCAAGTACAGAAAAACAAACAAAATTTCTGGTGAGTATCATTTTCCCTTTTGCTCACTTAATGAGTTAGTAAGAACAGTTTACTCTGACTCTCTAGAGGAGGCCAAAACAACACAAAATTTGGATATCCCAGTCTATTTCATTGACTTGCAACCTTTTCTTCAATCATCTATTTCATCGACTTGCACATTTTTCTTCAGCGATCCATTAACTCTTTAGAAAATGAGGCATACACTTAGTTTTTTTAAAGACAAGAATGTATCCTGGGTGCCTGGGTGGCTTAGTTGGTTAAGCGTTTGACTCTAGACTTCAACTCAGGTCAGGGTCTCACAGTTTGAGAGTTCAAACCCTGCATCAGGTTCTGTGTTGACGGTGCAGATTCTGCTTGGGACTCTCTCTCTCTCACTCTCTCTCTCTCTGTCCCTCCACCTCTTGCTCTCTCTCTTTCTCTAAGTAAATAAAAATTAAAATTAAAAACAAGAGGAGAAAGTATCCAACCGTCTGAATTTTAGCCTAGTAAGAAACAAAGTAAGGGAGTCTTTACATATAGATCCTTGTTTCAATGGTTGAAGGAGACATTTTGGAAGGCTAAAATGGAGAGGGGTGCATGTTTGCGTGTTTGTATCAGGGAGCTTCTAATTCAGGGTGGACATATTCAAGATCAGTCCTACCAGTGATATCAGAACAAGTAGAACACTCATAATGTTGGATCCATGGCCTTTCATTTCTGGGGGACCACTTAATTCCGCCTCTCCCATGATGTAGAGTGGGTTGCCAACCAACTGCTTCAGTAAAACAGGAAATTGAATTACTTATGAAGGACCCCTTACATTAGCCCACGGAGCCAGGGTGTGCCTCAAGGGTACTGCAGATGTGTCTGGAAACACAAAGGGTCCTGAGTATTTCTGTTAAATGTGCTATTCTCTTCCAGACTGGAGTCAGTATTGGAGCTAACATTATCAGCACACTACTTTCAAGCACTGGGATAATTCTTCTCTCAGTGAATTTAGTTGATGTATTCTTACTTGATTGCTTGGAGTTACCTGAGTGTTCATTGGTTAAATCTTTTATAACTGTAAGTACTAATTTGCTGGATGGTATGTTCACATGCGATGCTTGTTTTCAGGTACCTCAGCTTTCAGTGACTAAAGCCTACAATGAAGTTTCTAAATGTTTAAAAGTAACAGGAAAACAAACAAATAAATGTAATCATGAAATTTGTTTTAAAAACCTCAAAATGAAACAAAAACATGATTGCAGAATTGCAGGATTATGTGTGTGCATTTCTGTGTGTCATTTTAAGAACATGTACTTTTATTCTTCCAAATTTTCTCTGATAAACATGTGCTGTTCTAAAAAGAAAATGATAAAAAGACAGCTTATAGATCAGTGTGCCCAGAGAGGAGGGAGTGAGCTGCAGCATTAATTGAGGATTGGCCTCTGGATTTCTGGTAGTGAAAATGATACAAAATTTGGGAGCTGGTCTGAGTCCTTTTAATGTTAATTTAAAAGACCAATGGATGGGGCGCCTGGGTGGCTTAGTCGGTTAAGCGTCCGACTTTTGCTTAGGTCATGATCTCGCGGGCCGTGGGTTCGAGCCCCGCGTCGGGCCCTGTGCTGACTGCCAGCTCGGAGCCTGGAGCCTGTTTCAGTCTGTGACTCCCTCTCTCTCTGACCCTCCCCTGCTCACGCTGTCTCTCTCTCTCTCTCTCCTAGAAATAAATAAAACATTAAAAAAAATTAAAAAAAAAAAAAAAAGACCAATGGAAGGGCACCTGGGTGGCTCAGTCAGTTAAGCATCCGACTTCGGCTCAGGTCATGACCTCACGGTTCGTGGGTTTGAGCCCCGCATCAGGCTCTGTGCTGACAGCTAACTCAGAGCCTGGAGCCTGTTTAAGATTCTGTGTCTCCCTCTCTCTCTGACCCTTCTCTGCTTGTGCTCTCTCTCTCTCTCTATTTCTCACAAATAAATAAAAAACATTTTTTAAAAAAGCCCAATGTAGGGGCGCCTGGGTGGCTCAGTCAGTTGAGTGTCTGTCTCTTGATTTCAGCTCATGTCATGATCCTAGGCTCATGGGATCGAGATCCACATTGGGCTCTGCACTGAGTGTGGAGCCTTCTTGGGATTCTCTCTTTCTCTTCCTCTGCCCCTCTCTCCATGCTTTCTCTCTCTGTCTCAAAAATTAAAAATTAAAAAAAAAGTAAAAGACCAATGGAATGCTAGTAAATCCATCCTTTCTGTGAGTAAAGTTGAGTCACATGACGTTTGTGTATGTGTATGAATGTGCGTGTGTGTGTGTGAGAAAGAGAGAGAGAAGTCGTCGTGTGTTCAGTGTTTGACCAATACGTGTGAAGAAATGGCTGAAATGGGAGCAACTAACTCTAGAATGGCAAGAGAGTTCTTTTGCAGAGCTCTGCCATTTAGAATTCCTATAACTCATATTTGTGTCTGTAGGAGTTTACTTATGGCTGCTCACTGAGGCCAGGTTTGTGTCAGACCCAATATGGTGCCTTTACCAGAATGTGCGTATCTTGGATAGGAAGTGCACTGTTCTGCAAAATATCCACCAATCCCGGCTCCTTGCCCCCGGACAGCCAGGATGTGCACACTGCAGGCTAAATTCTTGCTCCTCTTCTCTTCCATAGAGTATTGTGATCCTTCAGATGATACTGACTTGTGTGGAGATTTTTATTTCGTTCTCACTCTGTGGGCTCACTTATACCGTGGATGGCAATGAGGTCAGCTGGGTGAGTAGCTTTTTCTATGGAGAAGGTGAGGCAGCATTTAAAGCATCACGAAGAATCATATGTGCTAAGTGTTAACTTCAGTCTCTGGTTGACTAGAGAATTGGCAACAACGACAACAAAACACCCCCAAAAAATCCCTCTTAATGGCAAGATGGGAGATAGGAAGTTAGAGAACAACAGTTACGTGTTGCATTCACCAGCCACTCATTTTCTAAATAGTCCTTTGTACAGACACTTCATTCATAGTCAGTTTCCCTCATTCCACACGTTTATTTCTTATTCATCCCTCTAAGATGTACTGAACACGTAATATATTTACTGTGTTGTGCGATAGGGAAACAGCAGCTTTTCCCATATCTTCAACAATTTGCCCATAATTGAATAAACGCTTAACGACAAAAATAGCAGCCAAGTAAGAAATACAATAGCTCTACACATACGTGTGATTTTGATATTAATTCCACACCTCATAACTTTTCATGGAATCCCATCAGTCATTCACACCCCAACATGTTCATGTGCTCATGCACACAGACATATTCGTGCGTGTGTATGTAGTCTCCCACATTGTCACATGTGCGTTCCTCCATCATAGATTCCGTAAAGCCCTCATAAATGGTTGGCCTTGCTACATCTGAAATTTATCACACTGATATTTCTGTTTCCATGTCCCTAGGACAAAAGAGATGGGGATATATCTCGTGTTAATGGATAGCATTTTATGATTTTTTTATGGAATGAATGACCCTCTCTCTTACTACTACTCAAACTCCTGTAGATGCTGGCATGGACTGTTGGCTACATAAATACCTGACAAGATCATTGAAAAGATGTATTTTACGGTAGTTCCAGACGTGGCTGGAATTGCCCTATCTCTGCCAAGGCTGTCGTGAAAACATTGGCTGGTCAGGGTGTTTCAGCTTTGGCACTATTGACATTTTGAATGAATAATTATGTGTGGCGGGGGTCATGATCTGGGCATCGCCAGATGTTTAGCAACATCCTTGGCCTCTATCTGTTAGATGTCAATCACTTCTCCCACCCCCAATTTTGACAACCAAAATGTCTTCTGACATTGCTAAATATCCCCTGGAGGGTAAAAGTACCACCAGTTGAGAATCAGTGGGCTACACAGAGCATTGCAGCAAGGCACTTACAAGATCAGATAAAAATCACTGAAAAGCCTGGTAAATAATTGTAGATGTGATGATGTCCTATTTCTAGGCTTCTGCACTAAGCTGCTTGATCAGATCGCATTCTGAAGATCCTTACCAAGACTTACTGACTCAACATGAAATTTATGAAGACTTAGTGCTCCAAGACATAGACCTTGTTCACTCTGATTCATGAGACATCATTTTAACATTTTTTATCACACCAGTGCATCGTGGATCCAAGATGGCAACCAAAGACAGATCTTCTGATAGGAATCTTATACAAATACCCTGCTCCCCATGTCTTTTATTATGCAATTTCATGCACACACACACACACACACACACACACACACAATTATCACGTATATGTGCTTAATTTCATAGTTGACCAGCAAATACCAGTATTAGCATTCCATGACCTAATAGACCTCTTTTCATTCGGATGCTCTATTACTATTTTTAAGCAAATTTTAGTTCTTAGGCTTCAGAGAGGAATTTGTTGTTACCCACTTGCCCCTTCCTAGAAACAGTACTGCCCTCTGGGTTGACAGTTTATTCAAGTGAAAAATCTTTGTACAAATAGTTTGGGTAAGTAGTGGCATACTATCCAACACTGGGTCCAATCTAAGTTCCTTTGACTGTTGAATGTAGCAGCTCTCCCTTGCTGGTATCAAGGTGAATTTGAGAAAATATAATGCAATACAAAATGCATACTAGCACACTCTAATGTATGACATATAATAAAAATCTAATGCAACCTCATTATTACCTGAATGCAGATTTAATCACTCTACTGCTCAATCAGTTGTTTTTTTGTTTTTTGTTTTTTTATTTTTTAAATTAATGTTGCTTTCTTCTTGGTGACTATGTATCACAGTGGGTTTTTGTTTTTGTTTTATAAGGCACTATCCAGGGTTTGGTTTTTCAACAGCAGATTTTGAGATTAGGATTTGTGTGTCTATTTTTTAAGAAGTGAAGAAAAGCATCAGTAGGGAGGAAGAGAAGATAGAAGATAGTCAGATGAAGATGGCAGGGAGAGCCTGCTCAGGCTGCCATAAAAGAATACCACAGAATCAATGACAGAAATTTATTTACTCACAGCTCGGGAGGCTGGAAGTCCAAGATCAAGGTGTCAGGTGGGTTGCTTTCTCTGAGGTCTCTTTTCCTTGTTTGTATATTGCTGTCTTCTTGCTGTGTCCTCAATGGTCTTTCCCGTGTATGTCCGTGTCCTGTGTCCTAACCCTCCTATTATAAGGACACCAGTCACGATTGTATTGCATAAAATATGACCTCATTTTATCCTAATTAGCTCTTTGAAAGACACTCTCTTCAAATACAATCCCCTCCTGAGGTATTGAGGATCAGAACTTTAACAGATACATTTTAGGAGGACACAAGTCAGCCCATAACAAGAAAATACAACCAGTAAAACGTACATTAGCAAGCCAGTTCCAACTGTATGCAAAGTGGATTTTAGTTTAGAAGGAAAAATCTAGGAACTGTATTTATATATCAACTCCTAGCTGTCACTGTTTGAAAGCTGTTCTCGGGAAGTATAAAGTCCCTGGCAATATCTTCCTGCCATGCACATATATAGGACCTGCCTCTCTGGGGTTGGAGAAAGTCCTCAGGCAAAGAATCTAGAGTGTACTCTAGAAACAAGGTCTGTGAGACATGGGTGGGTCAGCGAACAAACAGCACTGGCCAAATCGTGTCTTGCTCAACTACACTCATTTCCTACACTAGAGTCTTTTTTCACATGAAATCTTCTTTAAAAAAAAAAAAAAAAAGATATTGCAATAGAGGAACAGGTGATGGTATCCAGAGCTACAGTCATTCTGAAGCTTCAATAGTATCCATCAATTCCTTCTTTTAAGCTCCATGTTAGATTCCACTCACCCTCACCCAGGACTTCTGATGTCTCAATTTCTTTTCCATCGGGGCAGCCCAGGCATCCCCCTGTGGGAGGTCTGAGCCTCTGGTTTCATGCGTTCTCCAGGCTGTGGTTGTTCCATTTACTTATTTGTGGTTTTTACGAGACATGGAAGTCTCAGGAGGCATGCTGGTGAATCCCATGAGTTCCTGACATAATTCTCTACCGTCCTATTATTTAAGAGCAATACTAATTCCTCAAAGTGTATCTTCTATACACTATCTTCTTTCATTTTCTTCTGATTCACTGGTTTGAAGATTCCAAAATGACTCACTGTTACTAGTTTTGGTGGAAGCCTTACGGTGTCCCTGGTAAATGCATCACCCCTGCCTCGTAGGAACCAACACTCAATTTCAGCAGAGGTTAAACTTCCAGGAACAAAAGCATAAACTGTACAAATGGATCATTGAGATTTTTCAGGGGCACCTGGGTGGCTCAGTCGGTTAAGCATCCGACTTCAGCTCAGGTCATGATCTCACAGCTCATGGGTTCGAGCCCTGCGTCGGGTTCTGTGCAGCTCAGACAGCTCAGAGCCTGGAGCCTGCTTCAGATTCTGTGTCTCCCTCTCTCTCTGCCCCTCCCCTGCTCACGCTGTCTCTCTCTCTCTCTCTCTCAGAAATAAATAAAACATTTTAAAAAAGAGATTTTTCATAAGAGGGGTCACTATCCACTAGGGTTATAACAACACATAATAGCCACTGGCTCAGAGATACATATAGCAGTGTAAAGGACAAAGCCTCAATTCCCCAGAGTATGACAGTGTCTTGCTGTATATTTAAGAAGTCATTCTGGCATGCTATCAAGAAGAAATTAAGAATTTCTGTTCATCAAAGGACATTCTTGGGACAATGGAAACAGAGGCCACTGACTGGGAGAAAATATTTATAAAGCATATATTTGATAATATTCATGTATCCAGGATACATAAAGAACTCCCAAAACTCAGGGCGCATTGGTGGCCCAGTCAGTTAAGCATCTGACTTCAGCTCAGGTCATGATCTCATGGTGGGTGAGTTCGAGCCTCAGGTTGGACTCTGTGGTGACAGCTCAGAGCCTGGAGCCTGCTTCAGATTCTATGTCTCCCTCTCTCTCTCTCAAAAATGAATAAAAACATTAAGAAAAAAAAGAACTCTCAAAACTCAATAACAAAATAGCAAACAACCCTAGTAATACATGTGAAAAATAACTGAAGACACTTCACCAGAGAAGATACAGTGATTACAAATAAGCACATGATAAGGTACTCAATATCACTGGTTGTGAAGAAATGCAAATTAAGGGCACCTGGGTGGCTCAGCTGGATAAGCATTCGACTTCAGCACAGATCATGATCTCACCGTTCCTGGGTTCGAGAGCCCATCAGGCTCTGTGCTGACAGCTCAGAGCCTGGATCCTGCTGCGCATTCTGTGTATTCCCCTGGCCCCCCAGCCTCTGCCCCTCTCCTGCTCGTTCTCTCTCTCTCTCTCTCTCTCTCTCTCTCTCTCAAATAAATAAACATTAAGAAAAAAATTTTTTAATGCAAATTAAAACACAAGTTTCTTTTATACTCCTATCAGAATGGCTAAAATTAAAAAGACTGATCACAACAAGTATTGGCAAGAATGTGGAGAATAGAGAGGCACCTGGGCTGCTCAGTCAGTTAAGACTCTGACTTCGGCTCAGGTCGTGATCTCACATTCGTGGGTTCGAGCCCCACGTCAGGCTCTGTGCTGACAGCTCAGAGAATGGAGCCTGCTTTGGATTCTGTATCTATCTGTCTCTCTGCCCCTCCCCTCTCATGCTCTGTCTCTCTCTGTCTCAAAAATAAATAAAACATTAAAAAAAATTAAGAATGTGGAAGGCAGAGAAGGACAAATATCATATGTGTGCACGTATAGGAGGATTAGGAGGAACTTAACAGAGGACCAAGGGGGAGAAGAAGGGAGGAAATGGTGGGGGAAAGGGAGAGAGGCAAACCATGAGAGACTCTTGAATGCTGACAAAAACTGAGAACTGATGGATGTAGGGGGGAGGGGGGATGGGCATGGAGGAGGGCACTCGTGGGGATGAGCACTGGGTGTTATGTGGAAACTAATTTGACAATAAACTATTTGTAAAATAAAATAAAATAAAATAAAATAAAATAAAATAAATAGCTTCATAAAAAGAGAAAAAAAAATTAAGAATGTGGAGAATAGAAACCCTCATACACAGCTGGTGGGAATGTGAAATGATCCAATCACACTGGAAAACATTCTGGCAGTTTCTTAAAACCGTGAACACATACTGATCACCCAGATGCTGCACTCTTGGGTAAATGCCCAAGAGAAATAAAGTTATATGTTAACATAAAGGCTGTACACAAACATTCATAACCGCTTTATTTGTAATAGCCCATAACTAGAAACACTTCCAGTGTCTTTTAACAAGTAAATGAATAAACAGATTGTGGTGTATCCAAACAGCAGGATACTACCACCAAGCAATAAAAAGGAATTCAGAAATCACCCCTTGTCACTTGTAACCAAGAACATGCTCTTTCCTGGTATGTGAGACAGCATTACAATCTGGCTGGATAGCTCAAAAAGTATGGATTCAGACTCCAAGTCTTCCTCATATTACTAGACCCAGATTGCTCAGCCCTGTGTTTCTAGCAAAATGGTGGAGGTTAGGTCATATCAGGTTACAACCCACCCACTCTCCGATCTAGAGAGTGAGATCTTATCACACCCCACTTTTGTTCCCCAAGCTCATTTCATGCTAGAGGAAAACAGTTCTCCAAATAACCAGCCAACAGAGAGAAGCTATCTCTGCACCAAGACTACTCACTCAGGGTGGGTCTCCATAAGGCACGTTATTGACTCTCTAAGAGAATGAGAAGTGGAAATTAGCTTGTGCAACTAAGAGATGGCAAATGCTACTTTTAAATCTTCTGTGTTCCTCAGTGCAGATGAGGTACCCTGGAAGGTTCCCCTTTTAGGGCCTAATCTGATTATGTCAGATGAGTATATAAGATTGTTTAACTCTCGTGAGCAAATCATGCCATCCATCAGCTACAAACTATTTCACAACCAAGTAAACAGGGCATACTAGTCTTCTAAGATATCTTCTATCTTTGGGCTGTCCCTTGAACCAGGCCTGCTTTCAGCATTGATCTTTTATAGAGTTTTCAAGATACAACAACAACTCAATTAAAAGTAAAACAAACCATTAATCAGAGATCCCAGTGAGTTACAGCTAAATTTTTAATTAATTATCTATCTAAAATAGGAAACGTTTTCAAAATGAAAATTGCTAGAGGAAAAAAGTCAAAACAAAACAAAACAAAACCAAAGGGCTATTTCTGAAGACCTATCATTCTGGAAATCAAATGACATTTCCTTAAGAAATAATGAATAATATTATTGAGTGCCAAGATTCATCCTAAGGGTTTCAAATCTATTAAATGAATCAATCCTCACAACTCTTATTAGAGTTGTGCCTATAAACATTGCTTTTATCAGTTCGGAACAAGAAATCTAGAGAAGTCAAGTGCCTGGCACAAAATACGCAGAGAGTAGAAAATGGTGTGATGAGGGTAGACCCTGAAACAGATATATGGAAGTCTAACTCCTTACACGTAATAGAAATTCATTTCTCAGGCACACAATAATTCACACTGGGCACCCCTGGCCAGAGGCTGCTCTGGCCCAGGTTGTGACCCAGTGACCCTGCCTTCTTCCATTTGGTCTTCACCATTCCTTAGAGCCCTGTTTGTATGTGTAGTAAACTGTAAGGAAGACACAACAAAGGAGGCCACCACGGAAGTCCATGCAC